CTTAATTTTAATAATTAACTTAATTATTAATTATTAACTTACAGTGATTGTATTAAACTGTGATCACGTTAAAGGTAAATTCAGTCGTATTAAAATATTTTATGAAATGACACCCATATCTGGTACTTGTCTAAAAAGACGTGATTACACTAACTAACATTAGGCTATTTCCGAGTTGGTTGAACCTGAGAGACCGCTTCAGCATAGGCGGAGGGAGAACCATGCTGAATCGGTTTCTCAGTCAGTAAAACAAGAACACAGAGACCAAACTGTGCTGGGAGAAGTGGACAGTCAACTACAAACAACTAAAAAAAAGACTACATTTTGAAAGTTAACTTGAAAAATTCAGCTACTGCTGTCCTGAGTCCTATGAGTGTGAATAAGCGTTTTTTTTTTTTGTCCATCCGTGTTCAGTTGTTTTCCTATGTGAACATGCGTTAGATGTCTATGACCATTCCCTTGCTTTTATTTATTTTTATTTTTTTTTAGGTTTAAAGCGTTTTTAAGTGTTAGGTAAATAAAAAAATAACAAAAAAATAAATAAATAAAATAAAATGCTGCGTCTCTGTGCGTAGACTACTACCCTTACCAAAAAGTAGTATACTTCAAGTTTATTTTCTTAAATATACTCAAGTAAAGTTCAAGTATATTTTTAAGTACATTTTATGTAGTAAGTATACAAATATCGGTGTACTAGTAGTATACTTGTAAGTGTATTATTTCAATACTCATTGGGACTAAATTGGCCCACTTTCTAGTATATAAAGTATACTTTTAAGTATACTTTAAGTATAACAGTAATAAACTTTGAGTACACAACTAGTTTACATCTATGTTTTTAGTTTGTACTGCAACTATACTAAAAGTGAACTTATAGGTACACTGATAGTTTACTAATTAAATACTTGTAGCATTTTTAGTACACTTTGAAGTATAGTCTCAGTAAACTACTAGTTTAGTAGTTTTATACCGCAAGTGTACTCGTAAGTTATTATCATTGATGATGTAATAAAGTGTATCTCCTGGCATCAAAACCCAAGACTGAGTGTGGTTCCTAAGATGAGCAGCAGACGACACCACATGAGCTACAGTGTGTGGATTATTAAAGGACTGTTATCTTTCATCTTCTTCACTGTGCACTGTGCAAAGACAATTGGTTTCTAAATTATATATATATATATATATATATATATATATATATATATATATATATAGAGAGAGAGAGAGAGAGAGAGAGAGAGAGAGAGAGAGAGAGAGAGAGAAAGTAAACTGAACTTGTACAGTGCACATATTCCAGAAACTGTGGTGGGCAATACAATTTCATTAAATCATACATTGTGAAATAGATAGATAGATAGATAGATAGATAGATAGATAGATAGATAGATAAGCAAATAAATAAATAGATTTATATAAATAAAACAAAATAGTTTTGTTACTTGAAGACCGATGTTGTTGTTTTCTGGCATTAAGACAACTGGGATGCCAAAATAAATAGCATTAAAATCATAAACCAGTGGCCTTTGGGGATATTGTTCATGATTTTGAGGTTTGGTGGATATCCAAGATACACATTTTCGCAATCTTATGAAGGTTGATGTTTTCCCAGAAAACTTAGATATGAAAATACATTTATCTCAGTCTAGATATTCACTCTAATTTAAGACTTTTTTTCTATTGGATGTTTTTTTGCTTTATAATTAAGTCATGATTAAAGGTGGGGTAAGCGATTTTTCAAAAACGCTTTAGAGAACTGATTTTGGCCGACTAGCAAAACAAACTTGTAGCCAATCAGCAGTAAGGGGCGTGTCTACTCATGATGTGGAGGAGAGAGCGTTCAGTGCACAGGACGGACATTAGCTGAGCAACAGTAAGAGAGAGATGGCAGATAAAAAGCAAAAGAGGAAAATGTCTGCGGAACAAAGGAAGGCTTAAGGCAAGAAGTAGGACCCGTGTAAATATCGGATCAGCTTTCTAGCGCTGGAGAGAACTCAAGGAGCGGAAGGCATGCGATCGGACGCCGAGGTTGCTTTGTTTCTTCTCGATAGGTGAGTAACACCGTGTCTGCGCCGCAACAGCTAAAGTCTGTCTAGTACACTGGACGCGACAAAGCGACCGTTGAAAATCAGCAGCAGTTTTCTGTTGGGGATTTGTCGTGTCGTGCCGCACCACATCCAGTGACCATAGATATGCATATACAGTATATCTATGGTGTAGACAGCATCACTGATTATAATGAGTTCCATAGTATTTTGTTGCGCCGCGCCACTCACGTCCGGTGTAGACACGGTGTAACATTGGTTTTGATTTGTTTCACAGAACCAATCGTTGCCTGGGTTGTGTACGTATGTGTGGGGCGGAGCTATCAAAATAGGGGTGAGACCCTTTTGGGGTAGGGACGTGTTAGTTTTGGTGATTTCAAATGTCAACATTGGCTACCAGAAATCTCTTACCCCACCTTTAAGTAAATTACAGAACATTTGGTAAAATGACTTTACCTTTTTAGGTACAGAACACTGATATCGCTACAAACTGCATAAACATTGCATTTTAATGATTTAATACTTTAATATTTCTACCGTATAAACTGATTGTCATAGATATTAATGGACATTAAAGCTCATCCATGATTTGATCTAAGAATTATATTTAAATTTATCAATTTAAAATTGTTTAGAATTTGATTTCAAAACCAATCAGTTATTTCGACTTTTGTTTTATTTTTCTGTAATAACTTTGGTGGAAATCTGTGGGATTTGGCAAAATGCCAATAGCTGATTAAGCTGCTGTTTGGTACTTGATAGCGTAATAAAATCCAAAATATTTCATAAACAAACACGCTTAGGGCAGTTCATAATAATGCATGTTTAAATTCAGTGGAAATCTCCGAAGCTTTCCGTGGAGTTCTGGGAGCGCAGCTTCCATTTGGGACTGTATTACAGAAACCTCTTAATTCTTGAGTATTTCCTCAATAAACTTGCAACGGTTGCTAAATGGATTCTGAGTTAGGTGTTTTTCGGTAAGACCAGCCCCTGCTATTTAATAGTATTCTCAACACCTGTGAGAATGTGTTTCAGCATATTGTGGAGATTGCTTCAACAGGTAATGAGGATCCTCATGCACTTCTTTGAAATGTTTCTCAAGAAGAACCTCCTGCTATTGTTGAGTCATTTAAGGATAGTCATTGAAGCATCTGACTGCTGTTATGCAATCTGCCAGTGTTGTTTTTGCAGTTTAAGGTGTTGATGTGAGTCCAAGCGTTGCAGGCGATGTTTCCTCAGTTCATGTGACTGATTGTCTAAAGTCAACACACACTTGTACATGCTCTTCAGGATATTAGACCTCGGATCTCAGTGTGATCGCAGTGCACTTGAGGATGTTAATGACTTTTGGAGCCACACAGAGAGACAGACAGGGTCAAACAAGAAAACAAAAACTACTGCTATTAATAGAAAAATATTCACCATTATTTCATCATGTTATAAGAGTGCTTGTATGGTGAAGCTACAAATTTGGGCTTTTAGAATGATTGTACCCATTCATGTTTAAAAAACAACAACAACAACAACAAATTTATCTTCAACACAGACGATCCATTGCATCTGACATTTTCTCACTGATACGCCCTCGGAAGCTTCAGAGAGTGCATCACAAAAGTCGTAAAAATTACTTTGTGGCCGCATTCATGCCATTACCAGCACTAATTTAACAAAAGAAAATGCACACAACAGATAGTCTCTTCAGATCAGGTGCCCATAATCCATCTGTGACAACTTGTGGCAAAAGTTGGATAAGCAAACACTGATTTCTGGAATACTTTGACTTTATCAAAGAAATAACATCGCTCAGGCCTGTGCAGACTACATTACAGTGGCCACACAATGGAATGTAATATATGACCAAATTGACAGATAAATGTTTCCCTGCAGTCTTGTCTTATAAGGATCGCTCTCTTCCCTTCCCCAAAAGTCCAATTAAAGGAGCACATTAAATGAACACATGTACCCTGTCAGAGTTTCTACCCGTAAATGTGAACAACAGGACACCCATTACTTTTTCATTAGTCTGAGAGTCTCTATTTGCTGCGCAATTAAAAAAAATAAACAAAAAAGGAAAAGAACAGATGCAGATCAGGAAATACCTGCAACTAAAAACGTATGTGTTTTACACACAAGCTGATGTTTATTGTGGGAAAATAACACACGCTTAAGCAACCTCTGGTTTTCCCAGGTCATTATTCAATCTACAATGTATAAAAGTGGCTGTAAAATTTCAGATGTTCAAATTGGATTCAGTCACTGTAATGGACTTAATTATCATAATCTAGAAAGTGCTTTTCCAAAGAACATTTCTGTCACAGTTCTTGAGCTGAATACCAAGTTCTGCATGTGAAGCTGTAAAACCAAAAAAACTGGAGGAAGTGATGGAAAGAACCAGTCACAACCGTAATGCCTTAAATTTATATTTTTGTCAAGTTATATTGTGAATGGTCATGTCTGACGACACATAATGACCTAATATAAAAACTGTCTATCAAGTCTGACTCCCAGTTGTAAGTTCATCAGAGGGGTTATAGAGAGTGTAATAAAGTTTATTCAATTATTCTTGAGATATCCACTCTTAAATATAAAGGTTCTTTATTGGCATTGATTGTTCCATGAAGAACTTTTAACATTGATGGAAACTTTCCAGGTTGTTTTGAACTTTCATTTTTAAGAGTGGAACTAAACATGCCCATAACTTTTGTGGATTTAAACACTATTAATCATGATCACTAAGGGATTGTCCATAATCATTTTCATCATTTGCATTTTCACTTTCTACTGCAGACCACAAATGAAGATATTTGAAGAACGTTGAGGAACCAAAGAACATCAGAGCCCATTGACTTCCACTGTCTGACCACAGTTTTTCTCAAAATGCCTTATTTTGTTCCACAGAAGTTTTGCAACAACATGATGGTGAGTAAATCATGACAGAATTTTCATTTTTGGGTGAACTAACAACACACATGCAGCCTTTGATTTTCTCTTTATTAAAATGATGATATCATATAACTAACTACCTTAAAACCACTAGTCCTCAGATTGTAACAGCAAGATCAGAAAATAATTGTAAAGAATTTGTTTGGGATTTTTAAGAGGGTTATAGTATCCTAATCTATTTGTCTAATAAACCTGTATATTAGGAATGTTGTTGGCTCTTTGACAAATTACTGTCGCTCCTCATTGGATAAAAGCATCTGCTAAATGCATAAATGTCAGGCATGCAGTGTATGGAGATTCAAACATATTGATCAAAAACAAACTTTCATTTCCTCAGTTTAGCCTGTTTCACCTTCCCCCCAAATGACTGTCTTCAGTCATGGGACTGTTGCATAGTTTAGTCAAGCTGTTTGGCTCTTTCACAGTGAACTGACTTGCTATGACATGATTCAGTCCTGCCTATATTTGCAACGGAACGTAGAGAACTAAACTGATGAAGTGTGAAGTCATACAAAGAAAGACAACCGCATTCCCCACGCAGTTGAAACAGGAAGTACAGCTCTTCATTTCAGCCTGTAAATGTTTATTTATATTAACCCGTGGGTTTCCTGCTGATGAATAAACACTTATTTTCCTTCCAGTCTACAAAATGTTTTAGTCTCCATAAATAAAGACAATAAATAAGTATATATATATACTCTTCTATGTTCTCCATGACATAATTTGTGCAACAGCACAGCTCTTTCATCCTCAGATCTCAGATCCATCTGTTTAGGTATCCAGTGACCTGGATCTTCAGTATCCGTTATTTTCATTATTTGAGTGAGCAATCACTCCATAATCTTTCCCACAATGCAGAGAGGTTTCAGAGATCAGGAGCCGGCAGTTCCAGGAATTCCGGTGTAAACTTTCATCACACTGCCTCCTGAATCGCCAGGTGGGTTTGACTGATACAGGTCTGGATGAACGCTACGGACCTGTTCCTGGGTGGGTTTGAACTTTGCGGTCTTGCACATCTTGTTCCAGAGCAGACGAGGCACTGGGGGGCTGAGGATGATGAAGACCCAGGGGTCTATGATGGGGTTGGCTGATACTAAAAGAAGGGGTATGAGATTATTATTGTGATGACGGTCGTAGGAAATGTTGAAGTACACTTGAATCTGTGGAGACAAGAGCACAGTGTGGAACTGTTGTGCATAAACAATAAATCAAAAATTATATATAAACATAAAAACATGCTCCCACTTTCCATTACAATGTTTATGTTATAGTGCAAACAATTTGTGAAGCTGCTAGAAATACGTTTCGAATAGTGTTTCTAATCCTTAATAAATGAAGACCTAACAAACTACTTTTTCTGACATGTCTGTCTTGATTAGAAATGCTGCCTGGTTCAATATTAATCCAATGCAATGACATTTTTTAAACATTTTTAAGTGTGCCTTTGGTGTAAAAATACTTTTAGGGCCACTGTATATGGCAAGCCATTTAAATATTTATTTCTCTCAACTAACTAGTATCAATTTTACATTACTCGTACCTACTCTTAAGTCACTAGTAAGTAATCCAACAGTTACAAGTATCGTTTTCAATTCCTCCAAATATTCCTATTCAAGTACCCATTCATTAGATACTAGTTTCTATTCCAATAGTGACTTGTACAGTATGTCATCAATGTAACTAGTACTAGGATTTATTCATTTCCTACTACTACTTATTAATTTGCTACTTATCACTAACTCAGTCGTGACAATAGCTATTTTATTGCTAACATGCATATTTGCATCTCTGCTTTACTATATACTTTTTTAACATGTGATGTTAAGTTATCAGCAGTTAAAATGTTACTAGTAACAATTAATACACACTAATACAGTACATGTCTACTCAATAGTAATACGAAAATGGGAATGGATACCAATGCCTATGGATTAAAACAAACAAACAACTATCTAAAACTTACTAGTCACTTACTAGTGGACTAGTTATGTGCAAAGACATTTGTTTTAGTATATAACGACTAGTGAATAAGTTATAGATAAAGATACGTAACGTTTGAAAGGGTGTTTGACAAGTCTGTAGCTGCCTTACCACAAGCGGAAGAGAGCAGATAACGAATGCTATTGTCATGACCCCGAGCAGCACAAGATGTTCAACCTCCTTCGCGATAGACCGATGCCTCTTGTGTCCTCGCTGCCGTCGGACAGAGCTCCGGTGCGCCTTGCGTCTTCGGTACATGAGTGAAAGATGATAGATGACGGACGCATTGCACAAAACTGTACACACAATCATGATGAGCAAACAAGACGCGTAGATGATATTGAACACTTTGTGCTCTCTCTCAGACGGGTTCATGTCAATGAAGCACCACGTACCGGGACAGTACTGAACATATTTCCCAAACCCGAAGAAAGGTGTGGCACTGAAAAGAGCGCAAAACAGGTATATGAGAGCGACGGTGATGTACCCGCAGCGTTTACTCAAGCGCTTCTCGTAACAGTAAGGATGTCCTATGGAGAGCCAGCGCTCCACTGCCATGGAGAGAAGAATGGCGAGAGTGACCAGACTGAAAAAAGTCATGGCGTATCCAAAGTGCCCGCAAACTAATCGTCTTTCACTCATCCCGATCAAAGATTCATTCCTCAAGTACGCGGTTAAAACCAGAGGACTGACGGAGAAAGTTCCCAGCAAGTCTGTGAAGACCAAAGATGTGACCAGGACTTGGAACAAAGATGCGGGCTGTTTCCTCCGCCGTATTTCCAAGAGAATTAGGGCGACCACGTTCCCAAGGACACCGGCGGAAAACATAATCGCAGATATTGTAGGAGATCCATCAGAGACAGTGGGCTGCTCGTGGCAACTGACATTTTTAGGGTCTGACGCCATAAAATCTTTTTTTCTTCTGTATTATCCAGATTGGGGTACTGTTGAATTTAAGGAAAACCAAATATCATAGCAGAGAAGAATTAGGATCCATACTTATAGTGAAGCCGAACTTTTACGCACAGCTCTTAAACAGCTCTTTCAAACGAGCGCAAGCAGAAAGTGAGGTGGAGTTTCAGCAGAGCGTGCTCCAGTCACCACATCTAGACTTAAAATGCTATCAGACTATTTAAAACGAGATTTGGATTTATTATTATGTTTTATTTTATTTACTTATTAACTTTTTAATGCTACTTAAATCTAAATAAATCACTAAATATATATATATATATATAAAACAAACGACACATTATAGGCTATAATATAATATTTTAATTTGATTAATTGCATTGATGTATAGTACTTAATAATACATCACATAGCATTTATTAGCAAAGTAGATGCTATTTAAAAGTTATATAGAGTTTATTTAATGGGTATAAAAGCTTGGTTTACCATCTGCATGGCATCATGACTCCTCCCTGTGGAGAATATTCAAGACACAGACGAGTTTTAGTGGAGACCAGGGTTGATATTGATTGGACCACGCCTGCATTATTTCACATTACAAAACATTAAAAGGTCAAAACCTGTAGAGGACAGCTATCCACTTTTCTATGTCAAAGCAAATATTTGCTGGAACAAGCCTCCTGCTAAAAATATTCTAAAAATGAAAATGAATAAATATTACAATTTCTAATCAAATTCACAACTTTTATTAGAAATGGGAACCATTCATATCAAAAACGTTCCATTTGACATAATTAATGAAAGAGTGTGTGCTCATATAGCATGTGTTCACCATGTGCTCATTTAGAAAGCAGCGATCAATTATCATCACGGTATCATCATGGCAATAATCCACTTTATCCTCAAATCAACCGGAGTTCCACAGGGATCAGTACTGGGACCACTTTTATTCTCCCTTGACTTCATATTACAAGTAAAAGTTATCAAATCTAATGGCTTTCTATATCATTCTCATGCAAATGATACTTAAATTAAATCTCTGTTTCTGCCGTTTGACAAATGGGTTTCTTAGCATGTCTGGCGAGCATTTCTGTCTGAATTATATGAATTTATTGAAAACAGAGCAGCTGTTCATCCTAGCCAAGTCAAACCCTTTGCCAAGATCTTGTCATTTCAATAGACAAACTCAACCATCTCACCCAGACAGCCAAGAGCCTTGACAACGACCTGTTGTTTGCACCATACATACCACAGTCAATACATGCAGATTCTTCCTGCAGAAAATCCAGAACATTTGTAGAAAAACTGATGCCAGTGATGGACTCATATACTGACAGTTCATGAGCAGTAACCCATGCAACTACAGAAAGGTTTTTCAATGTATTTCAGTGACTGTATGATTTATATTTATTCATTTATGTATTAGAAATAAGAGATATTGTCTAGTGAACCGCTGGGACTGTGCTATTATTTTCTTACTTCAATAAAACTGAAACTCTTTATCTTAATTAAAGGAATGGGAATTAAAACATTGTCATCATTTAGTCATGTAATGGTCTCATTTGTAATCATGTAGTTTCAAACCTGTATATGCATTTATTTATTTATTTATTTATTTATTCTGAACACAAAATATTTTGAAGAATGTTAGTAACCAAACAGCTTGACTTTCATGGTCGACTTATATTGTACTTTGTACTACTACACCATACAATGTTTAGTGAGTAAATGATGATAGAGTTTTCATTTTTGGGTTGACTATATCCTTTTAATGGAGCTATAAGAAATTTCAGTGGTTTTGCTAGCTTTTATACTTAACTTCCCTTTCCGTTAGGGAGAGGGTTGGAGTTACAATAATGCTAATGTAAATGCTTTTTAGATTTCATGCGGTCATCTGGGGAACATTAAAATATTAGCCACTCAATTCAATTACACACAGCTAGTCATTCATTGATCATTGTGAGCCAAACCCAACACAATTACTGTACTTCTCAGTCATTAGGATACAAAATCATTGATCTAGCTCTGAAGACTAAATAACAACTATTGTTCAAAGTAACTTTACAGAAAACAGTACATTCATAATAAGACATAAAGCATAAAATGCTTTATTTTCATTGTACATGATACAATGAAGTTTACTACAAAATTTAGAGTGGCAATAATTTTGTCTGAACCATTGGTGTCACCATATTTTTATTGAATTGTAAAAACTAATGACTGTTCTCGAACAGGTTTCCTCACCACTCAGTTGTTAAAATGGGTGGGGGGGCTGGGGGGTATAAAATGCAGTTGTTTAATTGAAAAGGAATGCAACACAGAGAGTAAGGTCTCAATCGCTCAACATGCTAAATTGAGAATGAATGATGAAAGAATCCTTAAAGGAGTGGTTCACCCAAAAATGAAAATTTGCTGAAAATGTACTCACCCTCAGGTCATCCAAGATGTAGATGAGTTTGTTTCTTCATCCGAACAGATTTGGAGAAATTTAGCCTGGGTGAATGGGTGCCGTCAGAATGAGAGTCCAAACAGCTGATAAAAACATCACAATAATCCACAAGTAATCCACATGACTCCAGTCCATCAATTAACGTCATGTGAAGGGAAAATCTGCGTATTTATAAGAAACAAATCCATCGTTGTGTCCTATATGAGACCAGGAATGAGTCCCCGGGAAACTCTTTTGGAACTGTACGTACTCCATATTTGCAGTGCAATGCAGTACAAGAGATTAAATTAAAGTTAATTAAATAAAAAATAAATTTCAGTAGCTCAGAAAAATGTAATCAAATAAGGCTCCAAAACCAAAAATATGAAAACAAATCCCTATGTTCAGGAAAATGCTTGGAATTTAATAGTGTTCCTTTACCAGCACTACAGTTGTATGTAGGTCACAGCAGCATGATGTGGTAAAGTTCAAAATATATAAAAACAACAAAACTTGTTCATTATTTTCAGCTTTGTCTGTGATGTCTGAAATAAGTTTTTATGGAATTCCAAGGATTCCAACAATCCTTTAAGTGGTCCATTTTTCTTGAAATCTAAGTACTTGAAGGAGTTCACCCAAAAATTAGAATTGGTGAACTGGGGCGGTGAACTGTCTCTTTCAAGCTAATGTCAACTTATTCTTCTAATCCTAACCTTAACAGTCTACTGTCTAATGACAGTTAGTTGACATGCAGTTGCAAATTAATGACAGTTAGCTAACATTTAGTTGCAAAGGTACTTATAATTAGTAAAATGTCTAAAGTGGACTTTTGAAATGAAGTGTAATGTTGTTTGTTTGCACAAATGATTTTCTATTCAAATTTGATGAACATATGTGCATTGGATGCTTTGCACTCGCCTACCAAATCCCTCCCATAGACATTTTGGTAACTATGTGGATTGTGGTTAAGGCATCCCTTCATTTTAAGTGACCACATCGTCACATCTCATGAACTTCTTCAGGGACAATTATATTTAAGTGCTCCAGATCGAAGCTGCTCCCTCTCGAAATGAAGAACTGCTGCGTATTTGTTTTGCTTTTTGCAAATGTTTGTTTTATGAATGCGATTCAAAAGGACACATTTTTCCCTTTTGGATTATCTGAAGGGGATTCAGTTCTTCAGGAAGGTGATGATGAAGTGTCTGAAGCCCTGAAGATAAAAAAGCCATTACAGTTCTACGACGTCCAGTTCAACATTCTTTATGTAAGCCATTGTTTTATTTGCCTTTATCTTTGCCATTTTTTAAAAAGGTCAAATTGGAATATATCAAATTATTTCATCATTTGTATGTTGTAGCATGTGCAATAATCTCTATGTAAAAATGCATTTTTTTTGTGCTGATTTTCTTATTGTACCTATACAAATAAAAATAAATAAATCAAATTAAGTATGCAACCAGATTCATTGAGCATGTGAAGTCTGAAGCTTAAAATGTAATCTAATTTCTCAGGTTTCCACAAATGGGTTCTTGTCCCTTCAGCCTCCTCCTGAAGAGAGCCAGTATTTCAGAAACATGTTTCCTCTCAGCTTCTCTGCCATCGCTCCTTTCCTGACAGACATTAGTTCAGGACGGGGGAAAGGATCTGTGTTTTACCGTGTGGAGGAATCATTAGTTGTATTAAACCGGGCTTCTGAAATGGTGCAGCAGGGTTTTACCGGTTCTGAATTTAAGCCCAGCCACACAGTCATCGCCACATGGGACAATGTTGCATGTGAAGAGGAAGGGCTCCAGCTCCCATTTACATATTGTGTAACATTTTTTGTGTTTCTCCATCCTACTTTTTACCCACAATATAAATGTTTCAAATAAAGTAATAGATTTGTAAAACTATTCTTATCAATAATAAATTTGCTGTTCTTACCTACATGCAGGTAACCAGTTTCCAGGTTGTGTTGGCCGGCAATAAATCAGATACATATGCCTTGTTCCTGTATCCTGAGGATGAGCAGCAGATGTTAAATATCAGTCATAATCATACTAACATGTCAAATGGACATGCCAAACCTCAGGTTGGTTTTAATAGAGGTGATACATCTACCAAAGAAGAGCTCTTCTACAGTCTGTTTGGCTCTAATGAGACCAGCAAGAACCTCTATAAGTGAGTGCATGAAATGTTAATTTATACATTTATTATTGTTCATTGTTAAAGAAAAAAAGCATTTTAATTAATGCTACTTTCAACATTTACTAATACATTTTTTAAATCAAAAGTTGTTTACATGTTGATGCAGTGCAACTAACATGAACAAACAATGAATAATGGTATTTTTTAATTAACTAACATTAACAGGAATTAATTCATGTTTAAAATACAGTGAATTGCTCATTGTTAGTTAATGCATTAGCTAATGTCGACAAATGGGACCTTACTCTAAAGTGTTTCCATCAATGCTGTAAAAGAATTGTTCATTGCTAACTCATGTTAATGTTGACTAATTGAACTTTATAGTAAAGTGTTACTTACTGTACGCAACTCTCAGGGCTGGGAACACCGGGGTAAATGGACTATGGATTTTCCACATCGGATCCAGCCAGTTCCCATTCCAGAAGGTAGTCCCTGCTTCCTTTCCCAAGTCTAAATCTATGGGTTTTGGTAGTTTGCGCAGCACCACAGATGAAGATTTCTACATTACAGTAGAATCAAACACGCCTGCAGATAAGTCTGCTTCTAAGGCACAAATGGACATCCCGGCTTCACTTGTTCAACAGCCTTCAAAATCAAACCAAGAACTACTACTTCACGCTAGTTCAAATAATATGACCAAAATGTGTGGCTTGCACCTGAAATTTTGCTCTCAGGATGGTTTCTGTACAGACTATCCAACTGGTCCATGCTGTCATTGCCGTTCTGGTTACTATGGCAATGGCAGACAATGTTTACCGATGGGTGAGTTTTTAGTTTAGTATTTTCTTGTCATGCCATTTTTTATGACTATTATACCTTTAAAAAAAAAAACTCATTGCATGACGAAGCAGATATTGTCCTCTTTTGGAAGGCCAACCAAAGTAGTTTTGCTTTCACAACGAAACAAACAGCGCCTTCACAATATGGCGGTGGCAGCAACAACAATACTGCAGCGAGAATAAAAGTTACGCCTTCTTTCTTTGCGTGAACATTTGGACGGCGTTATGCAAATCTTCCCACATAGAACGAGCCGTTTTAGGTAGGCGTGGTTGACTCAACTTTTATAAAGAATATCTCTTTGGATTTGAGACTTTAGTCTTTGCAACTTTACAGACCTTCTTTATGCACCAAGAGCTTGTAACACTCCAAAGAGAAAGGAAAAATTTAAATCGCATCATATGACCCCTTTAACATTAGTTTCTAACATAAATGTGAAAGATAAATCTGATTTTACAGGCATTTCTCAGCCTTTAAGTGGAAAGCTGAGTGGCCTTGTTTCTGTTGGAGACACTAAAGTTCAGCTAAACAATGTGGACATCCATGGCTTTGCTGTGTTGGGAGAAGGTCGCGTATACATCTCCATCAGTCCTGTCCCAGCTCAGGCAGGTTGGGCTCTGATGGCTGTAAGCCCTCTGGTCTCTACATTTGGCTGGCTGTTTGCTCTTGAGCTCCAAGACCATCTGAATGGCTTCAGCATAACTGGTGTGATTGTTTTTTCTTATCTGAAGCTTCATTACTTTATGTCACACAGATCATGAAGAAGTCTAAAGGAGAAAAACATGTTTTCTCCAGGTGCTGAGTTTTCTGATCAGGCAGAGCTGGTCTTCAGCCCACAAGGTCAGCGTGTTACCATTATTCAAGAGGCTCAAGGAATGGATTCATATAACCACTTGAATTTCAACATAAGGATCAATGGAGATTTACCTAGCATTCCTGGTGGTGCTAACGTCCATATTCTGCCATATGAAGAGACCTATCAATACAATCAATCAGGTAATTCCTGTAAACAGTCTTTGAGGGTAGTGACTAGGGTTCATTTTCAGTAATTCCACACAATATGTTCATTACTGAGTAACTTAAATTTGAGATGCATCATATCGGCAGTCACTTTTTCTATTTATGCTCCACTAAAAAAAAAAATTAAGGAAGTAGAACTGTAACGATAACAAAGTAACCTGCAAGTTCACCTAAAAAACCAAGAAAGTCTCACCGCTGACATTCTGTATAGATTGTGATAACAGAAAAATGGGGTAATTTTTTTTTAATTATGAGATACTAAGTCATGAGCTGAACTTCAAAGTTATGCCATAAAAAGTTGATATTATGAGATACTAAGTCACGAGAAGAACGTCAAAGTTGTGAAATAGAATGTTACTAAATCATAATTATGAGGTAAAAAGTCAAAATTATGACAAAAGTTGAAATTATGAGATACTAAGTCATGAGATAAAGCTGAAATTATGAGATATTAATTCATGAGATAGTCAAAATTATGAGATACCAAGTCATGAGATAAATCTGAAATTATGAGATACTAAGTCATGAGATGAAGTCAAAATTTTGAGATACTAAATCATGAGATAAAGTTGAATATTTTGAGATACTAAGTTATAAATATGAAGGGAAAAGTCAAAATTATAATATAAGATAAACAGTCATAATTATCACACAAAAAGTTGAAATTACGAGGGAAAAAACGTAGATGTATTGTCATATATGATTTCTTATGGGATAAAAAGTAAATATGCACTTTTATCATCATTTCAGATTTTATCTCATAATTATCACTCAATATGTCATCGTTTTGAAAGTTTGTCATAATTATGACATTTTATGTCATTATTATGATTTACCAAAGCATTTTCTTCTTATATGATGCAAATGGGCTTCCATAAATGGAGAGACAGAGAAACATCCCAGTTTTATTGGACTAAACATCAACACCACTAGGCCAATTAAATGTCCGAAGCTACATCAGATATTCTGATTACCTGAAAAATCCTTCATTCCAATAATAATAATAAATGTAACTCTTTTATGAACATTCATGTCTTTTATTGATGGTGCTTTTACATGTTTTAAAAGCAATAAACCACTCGAGTCCAAAGTTAATGCTTTAATATGTGTTCTTTGGGCATTATGGGTAATGAAGTTTGTGTCTGGCTCAGCTGTGACATCATCTTCACTGCGAGAGTACATGGTGGTGTCAGAAAATGGTGGATCTGAGACATTCTCCTACCTGCTACACCAGAATGTGAGTTTCCGTAGCTGTGAGCATGGCACATGGACCATACCGGACTTTCAACAGGTGCATGTGGAGCATCTGATGGTCATGTTCACAGAAGGAACCACCCTTAGATATGCCATAACCAATAAAGTGGGGCCTGTAGGAGGTAAGAACATATTGATAACCAAACCATACTAATACATGGGTCATTATTAGTTCCATTTCATATCATTTTGGATCTTGTTGAGGACATTCTTTAACTGTATGTTATCAGGTGAGCTCCCTGGGCTTGTGGAGTTGAACCCCTGTTCGACTGGGAAGCACCATTGTGACCCCATGGCTCTCTGCCTGCCAGGGGATGACACTCATTATCATTGTCAGTGTGCCATGGGCTTCCAAGGGGATGGACGCAACTGCTATGGTACAAATATTTCAGTGTTCGTCTATGACATATTTTGGCGTCAAGCCAAGCGCTTGCTATGACTGCTCCTTTGAGAGTTCCCTTAGAGACTGTGTGTCATTTTCTCATGCCTTTATTGAATTACTGCCTTAGTTAAAGTTCAGAATGGCTCTCTCGGGTTCTGAATCTGTGATCCAGATGTAGATGAGTGCGCTGAGGGGCTCAGTTCCTGTGGTCCTCACTCCGAGTGTGTGAACATGCCGGGTGGCTATCACTGCCACTGTCAGTCTGGCTATGAGTTTGACCTCGATTTGCATGTGTGTGTGGGTAAGTGTTCAATGTTTTGTAATCTGTGTATGAGAATTTGAGTCTTGTGAATAGATGATTCCTAATAAGATTCCTAATAATGATTCACTGTTTAGAAGCGCTTGAAACAAGCAAACGGCAGTTTCAGGTATTTCAAACTTCTTTTTACCCCTAAGCGAACAAGGAAAAATAACTTCATATATTCGTATATTGGGGTCTTTGCATGTGTGAAACTGCTATTTAGTTATGGCCACTTTGGAAACACTATTTTATTTAGCTTTGAAACCTCTATGAATCTTTGTTGTGAATCAGTGATTTGCAGTGTGTTTCAAACTGGCGAAGCTAAGTAATTTGAGAAGCCAAGGCTTTGTTTCGTCATATGTTTTCTAAAGGTTTCTACATTTTGGTGGTTCACCAATTGAGGGCGATGATCTTGTGAACCCATGTGAGTACAATGAAAACAGGAGAATTAAGGTTAATTGTCTCTGATTGACCTGATCAGCCAAGCCCTCCCTAAAAGCACAAAACAAGCACTACAAATTATACAGACACTTTATATTCAATTGTATTTGTAGATTTCATAGCTTACACTTTCATGAAAAACAGTTGTAGTTTGTTTTGTAAAAAGGTTCATTATTTTCTGCCCTCGTTGCATTTACACCACAGTGCTTCGAAACAGTGAATCATTTCACAAAGCAACCAGTTCAATTGATTCAGAGTTGATTTACACAGCCGTTCAATAAACAAGAAGTTAATGTTTTAAACACAATATCGCCAGTTACTTGTCTATTTTGCTTTGACAATGAAACTAGTTCCAAACTAAGCCAAAGCAGATTAAACCATTGGGCATCTTCAAGCAAAACACAGCAGCGGCGATCGCGTTTCTGAATGAATCTGTGTTTTTGAATAAATCATTTGAGTAAATGATTCAATGACTCAATCATAAGAAGAGTCGCCACCTACTGGTGTAATAATGCTTTCTGCAGAAAAATTGCCAATGAAAAATCCTACCACAGACTGGCAACCTCAAGCGCATAAAGTTACATTTTAACATATATGTAGTCGCATTACATAGAAGTGCTGGATGGACAATAAAATATTTGGTTAAAAATAAAATAAAAGTCTGTGTATATAATTTGTAAAAAAAAGACATACGTACATAACTTCAGCTCATTTGCACAATTTATGTAAGAATTCATTTTAATGCCCAATTTACAGTCATTCATGAATCATGGTCATTCAATGCAGACATTTGTTAAACATTTCATGCATGAGGACCACTAACGCTCTTCAATCACAAGTGTAATTTATGCAACCACACATGTGCTACACATTTGAGAGTTCTATTTCATAGGAGGTCCATCATTCTCTTATTTTACAGATATTGATGAGTGTTTTCTGCAGCTCTGTCATCCGTTTGCTTCCTGCTTCAACACCCAGGGCTCTTTCCACTGCCAGTGCTGGCCTGAATACAAGGGCGACGGCTTCCTCTGCCAACCACCACGTAAACCACAACATTTATCTAGAAACACACAACGCTTTCTGTCCATCAGCTCAGTAACAGACTGTTCTCTTTGTTTAAAACACAGAAGAAGTCCGGCAATCGAGTCAAATATTATGTTCAGCAGCGTATTATAAATCAGTCAAACACAAATGAGTTGTTTAATAATTCATAAGAAACAAGTAGAACATGTTCCTGAAACAACCACCTTTGTTCCAGGACACATCATGCCATTTAGTGAATACTGATAACACATCTGAATATTTGGGTTGAACTGTTCTGGAACAGTGTTGTAAATACAACTTAACCACTGATTTCTAGTCATGTCCATTTTTGGAAGGCCAAACAAAGTAGTTTCACTTTCACAACGAAACACAGCGTTAACCACATGTGACGACCCCGGGCTGGACACCGCTTCGTCCACGGTGAAAGCCGATCCGGCGATCCACAGCACAAAGTTGTAGTATTTCCTCAGCAACTAGCACGGATCAGCTCCAGGCATGACGAAGCAGATATTGTCCTCTTTTGGAAGGCCAACCAAAGTAGTTTTGCTTTCACAACGAAACAAACAGCGCCTTCACAATATGGCGGTGGCAGCAACAACAATACTGCAGCGAGAATAAAAGTTACGCCTTCTTTCTTTGCGTGAACATTTGGACGGCGTTATGCAAATCTTCCCACATAGAACGAGCCGTTTTAGGTAGGCGTGGTTGACTCAACTTTTATAAAGAATATCTCTTTGGATTTGAGACTTTAGTCTTTGCAACTTTACAGACCTTCTTTATGCACCAAGAGCTTGTAACACTCCAAAGAGAAAGGAAAAATTTAAATCGCATCATATGACCCCTTTAACATTAGTTTCTAACATAAATGTGAAAGATAAATCTGATTTTACAGGCATTTCTCAGCCTTTAAGTGGAAAGCTGAGTGGCCTTGTTTCTGTTGGAGACACTAAAGTTCAGCTAAACAATGTGGACATCCATGGCTTTGCTGTGTTGGGAGAAGGTCGCGTATACATCTCCATCAGTCCTGTCCCAGCTCAGGCAGGTTGGGCTCTGATGGCTGTAAGCCCTCTGGTCTCTACATTTGGCTGGCTGTTTGCTCTTGAGCTCCAAGACCATCTGAATGGCTTCAGCATAACTGGTGTGATTGTTTTTTCTTATCTGAAGCTTCATTACTTTATGTCACACAGATCATGAAGAAGTCTAAAGGAGAAAAACATGTTTTCTCCAGGTGCTGAGTTTTCTGATCAGGCAGAGCTGGTCTTCAGCCCACAAGGTCAGCGTGTTACCATTATTCAAGAGGCTCAAGGAATGGATTCATATAACCACTTGAATTTCAACATAAGGATCAATGGAGATTTACCTAGCATTCCTGGTGGTGCTAACGTCCATATTCTGCCATATGAAGAGACCTATCAATACAATCAATCAGGTAATTCCTGTAAACAGTCTTTGAGGGTAGTGACTAGGGTTCATTTTCAGTAATTCCACACAATATGTTCATTACTGAGTAACTTAAATTTGAGATGCATCATATCGGCAGTCACTTTTTCTATTTATGCTCCACTAAAAAAAAAAATTAAGGAAGTAGAACTGTAACGATAACAAAGTAACCTGCAAGTTCACCTAAAAAACCAAGAAAGTCTCACCGCTGACATTCTGTATAGATTGTGATAACAGAAAAATGGGGTAATTTTTTTTTTAATTATGAGATACTAAGTCATGAGCTGAACTTCAAAGTTATGCCATAAAAAGTTGATATTATGAGATACTAAGTCACGAGAAGAACGTCAAAGTTGTGAAATAGAATGTTACTAAATCATAATTATGAGGTAAAAAGTCAAAATTATGACAAAAGTTGAAATTATGAGATACTAAGTCATGAGATAAAGCTGAAATTATGAGATATTAATTCATGAGATAGTCAAAATTATGAGATACCAAGTCATGAGATAAATCTGAAATTATGAGATACTAAGTCATGAGATAAAGCTGAAATTATGAGATATTAATTCATGAGATAGTCAAAATTATGAGATACCAAGTCATGAGATAAATCTGAAATTATGAGATACTAAGTCATGAGATGAAGTCAAAATTTTGAGATACTAAATCATGAGATAAAGTTGAATATTTTGAGATACTAAGTTATAAATATGAAGGGAAAAGTCAAAATTATAATATAAGATAAACAGTCATAATTATCACACAAAAAGTTGAAATTACGAGGGAAAAAACGTAGATGTATTGTCATATATGATTTCTTATGGGATAAAAAGTAAATATGCACTTTTATCATCATTTCAGATTTTATCTCATAATTATCACTCAATATGTCATCGTTTTGAAAGTTTGTCATAATTATGACATTTTATGTCATTATTATGATTTACCAAAGCATTTTCTTCTTATATGATGCAAATGGGCTTCCATAAATGGAGAGACAGAGAAACATCCCAGTTTTATTGGACTAAACATCAACACCACTAGGCCAATTAAATGTCCGAAGCTACATCAGATATTCTGATTACCTGAAAAATCCTTCATTCCAATAATAATAATAAATGTAACTCTTTTATGAACATTCATGTCTTTTATTGATGGTGCTTTTACATGTTTTAAAAGCAATAAACCACTCGAGTCCAAAGTTAATGCTTTAATATGTGTTCTTTGGGCATTATGGGTAATGAAGTTTGTGTCTGGCTCAGCTGTGACATCATCTTCACTGCGAGAGTACATGGTGGTGTCAGAAAATGGTGGATCTGAGACATTCTCCTACCTGCTACACCAGAATGTGAGTTTCCGTAGCTGTGAGCATGGCACATGGACCATACCGGACTTTCAACAGGTGCATGTGGAGCATCTGATGGTCATGTTCACAGAAGGAACCACCCTTAGATATGCCATAACCAATAAAGTGGGGCCTGTAGGAGGTAAGAACATATTGATAACCAAACCATACTAATACATGGGTCATTATTAGTTCCATTTCATATCATTTTGGATCTTGTTGAGGACATTCTTTAACTGTATGTTATCAGGTGAGCTCCCTGGGCTTGTGGAGTTGAACCCCTGTTCGACTGGGAAGCACCATTGTGACCCCATGGCTCTCTGCCTGCCAGGGGATGACACTCATTATCATTGTCAGTGTGCCATGGGCTTCCAAGGGGATGGACGCAACTGCTATGGTACAAATATTTCAGTGTTCGTCTATGACATATTTTGGCGTCAAGCCAAGCGCTTGCTATGACTGCTCCTTTGAGAGTTCCCTTAGAGACTGTGTGTCATTTTCTCATGCCTTTATTGAATTACTGCCTTAGTTAAAGTTCAGAATGGCTCTCTCGGGTTCTGAATCTGTGATCCAGATGTAGATGAGTGCGCTGAGGGGCTCAGTTCCTGTGGTCCTCACTCCGAGTGTGTGAACATGCCGGGTGGCTATCACTGCCACTGTCAGTCTGGCTATGAGTTTGACCTCGATTTGCATGTGTGTGTGGGTAAGTGTTCAATGTTTTGTAATCTGTGTATGAGAATTTGAGTCTTGTGAGTAAATGATTCCTAATAAGATTCCTAATAATGATTCACTGTTTAGAAGCGCTTGAAACAACCAAACGGCAGTTTCAGTTATTTCAAACTTCTTTTTACCCCTAAGCGAACAAGGAAAAATAACTTCATACATTCGTATATTGGGGTCTTTGCATGTGTGAAACTGCTATTTAGTTATGGCCACTTTGGAAACACTATTTTATTTAGCTTTGAAACCTCTATGAATCTTTGTTGTGAATCAGTGATTTGCAGTGTGTTTCAAGCTGGCGAAGCTAAGTAATTTGAGAAGCCAAGGCTTTGTTTCGTCATATGTTTTCTAAAGGTTTCTACATTTTGGTGGTTCACCAATTGAGGGCGATGATCTTGTGAACCCATGTGAGTACAATGAAAACAGGAGAATTAAGGTTAATTGTCTCTGATTGACCTGATCAGCCAAGCCCTCCCTAAAAGCACAAAACAAGCACTACAAATTATACAGACACTTTATATTCAATTGTATTTGTAGATTTCATAGCTTACACTTTCATGAAAAACAGTTGTAGTTTGTTTTGTAAAAAGGTTCATTATTTTCTGCCCTCGTTGCATTTACACCACAGTGCTTCGAAACAGTGAATCATTTCACAAAGCAACCAGTTCAATTGATTCAGAGTTGATTTACACAGCCGTTCAATAAACAAGAAGTTAATGTTTTAAACACAATATCGCCAGTTACTTGTCTATTTTGCTTTGACAATGAAACTAGTTCCAAACTAAGCCAAAGCAGATTAAACCATTGGGCATCTTCAAGCAAAACACAGCAGCGGCGATCGCGTTTCTGAATGAATCTGTGTTTTTGAATAAATCATTTGAGTAAATGATTCAATGACTCAATCATAAGAAGAGTCGCCACCTACTGGTGTAATAATGCTTTCTGCAGAAAAATTGCCAATGAAAAATCCTACCACAGACTGGCAACCTCAAGCGCATAAAGTTACATTTTAACATATATGTAGTCGCATTACATAGAAGTGCTGGATGGACAATAAAATATTTGGTTAAAAATAAAATAAAAGTCTGTGTATATAATTTGTAAAAAAAAGACATACGTACATAACTTCAGCTCATTTGCACAATTTATGTAAGAATTCATTTTAATGCCCAATTTACAGTCATTCATGAATCATGGTCATTCAATGCAGACATTTGTTAAACATTTCATGCATGAGGACCACTAACGCTCTTCAATCACAAGTGTAATTTATGCAACCACACATGTGCTACACATTTGAGAGTTCTATTTCATAGGAGGTCCATCATTCTCTTATTTTACAGATATTGATGAGTGTTTTCTGCAGCTCTGTCATCCGTTTGCTTCCTGCTTCAACACCCAGGGCTCTTTCCACTGCCAGTGCTGGCCTGAATACAAGGGCGACGGCTTCCTCTGCCAACCACCACGTAAACCACAACATTTATCTAGAAACACACAACGCTTTCTGTCCATCAGCTCAGTAACAGACTGTTCTCTTTGTTTAAAACACAGAAGAAGTCCGGCAATCGAGTCAAATATTATGTTCAGCAGCGTATTATAAATCAGTCAAACACAAATGAGTTGTTTAATAATTCATAAGAAACAAGTAGAACATGTTCCTGAAACAACCACCTTTGTTCCAGGACACATCATGCCATTTAGTGAATACTGATAATGTAATGTATTTAAATGTTCACTGTTCCTCTATATTTTTCAATGCTAGAAAAGCGCAAACCGCCCTTAACTGTGTGCCAACACCACAGAGAAAGTTTGCAGGAGAGTCTAAGCATCTACCCAGGCCTGGAGGCCTTTATTCCTCAGTGTGATGAGAAAGGGCAGTACAAACCCCTGCAGTGCCTGGGCTCCACTGGACACTGCTGGTGTGTGGACAGTAGAGGGCAGGAGAGAGTGGGCACCAGGACAATGCCTGGCACAGTGCATGCCAACTGTGATCAACCAGGTATGGATTTCTGCCCTCACATTTTGCACTTACTGCTTTCTAACTTTTGATTTGGTCAGATAAACGCTTCTTTTGTTTTTGAAAGAAGTCTATTGTGCTTATAACGGCTCCATTTATTAGAGCAAAAATACAGTAAAAGCAGTAATATTGTGAAACATTATTTTAATCTAATAATATTTAAACATGTAAAAAGTTATTTATTCCTGTGATGGCAAAGCTAAATTTTTGAGCAAGCATTTCTTGTAGTCTTTAGCGGGGTTATTAAAGTAAAAAAAAAAATATATATATATACTGTATTTTTTTTCAGCTAGTTTCCAAGACAACATTTCTCATTTTAATTTAGTTTAACTTGATGTATAAAATAACTAAAACTATGAAATATAAATTAATAAAAATATATAGACATACAGTACAACAAAAACCAATAAAATGGCAAAACACAACAAAATTACAAAAAAATTACTAAAACAAAATCAATCTGAAAATATCAAATTAAATCTAATTCAAAATATTAACAAAAACGGTAATAGAATCTCAATGGTACTAAAATAAAACTGGTCTTCAGTGTCACATGATCCTTCAGGAATTATTCTAAGATGCTCATTTGGTGCTCAAGAACATTTCTTATATAATAATAAAGCATCAATTTCTTAAAAAATAAAAACGGACCCTCAAAAATGTCTGACCACTAACCTTTGATTTGGTCAGATTTATTAATATATAAAACTATTGAATGGCATAAGAGTACATTGTTGTATATATATATTTATATGTG